AGTTATTCATCCTATTTCGTTTAAGATGATGAAGTGCTGGTAGTGGAATTTTCCCATAATGATATGAGTAAAGCTAAAGCTTCCATCTAATTGCACATTGCCTTGATTTCCCAAAAGTTGATCTCATCCAGGATGGACTGCAGTCTCGACCTCGCATCGGTCTTATAAACACCCTCAACGGGAGTCGAACGGTGACAGTGCAGAATAAAAGCTTGACACGTCAACCACTAGATAACATTGCCACGATTGCACTTTTGTCACAGAGCTGATGTGAATTTTAAGGAAGGTCAGGCCTTTGGCCATATCATATTCTTTGGTGGGATATTCGATGAAGCAAAAGTATATTTGATATAATAATCGACTACGTTACTTAATTTTGTATTTGAGTAGTTTTGTAGATCCGTTGCTTATCTTTCTGATTGACCGATTTCACTCGGTCCCAGTCCCAGTGTGCATTTCACTCCAGGCGCTATTCCTAGAAGCACATGCCGCAGCACTTAGTAGAGTGCCTAAGCTCTGATTCCCATGCCTGCAGATACCAGGCCTTTTCTTCACGGGTCCTCTTCTCGATTAAACCCATGTTATCTGAACAAACTATGTACGCCTATCTCTTGTGGGATCTCAAGTGGATTTCTAGTGAATTTTGGTCATATGGCCTAATTTCCGTGACGGTTTGCTTATCCGTCTGCCCAGCTCCCCGACTGCCAGACCCTCAAAGTCATACTGGTGTATTCGAAATAGACATCACTCACTGACACCGTCTTCGCTTGATTACCGAAACAACCTCCCCATTTTCCTCATCGCGACGCCTTTTCCCTCCGGTTAGTGATAGTTCCCGATCCAGGCGTCTCTTTTTTTCTGATTATGCTCTATTATTGTTTTCCACAAGTTTGCTTAAGCAGTAGGCAATATTATCACTAACTCTACCTCCATCTAATCTCCTGTTCATTAGAGTTTTCTCCTCAAGCATGTCAATGACCTCCCTAATCTTCCGCTTCCTTATGTTGTCACCGTATGGGGTTCTTCTTTTTGTCGCCGTCCAATTGATCTCGTGTCCAGTCTGTGTCATGTGTTCTGCTAGTTCTGATCTTTCGGTATCCATTTTCCTGCAGAACCTCTGATGTTGCTTGATTCGTGTGCTAATTTTTCTGCCTGTTTCGCCAATATATTTCTGTTGGCATGCGCCGCATTATATACAGTAAACTTCTAAACAATCCAATTTATCTACTCTTTCATGTTGAGTTGGTATACTTGTGAAAAAAGTTGATTTCTCTTTCATGACCACCTGGATATTCCATTTACTCAATATTGGCCATAGTTTTCGAGTTAGTTCGCAGGAAGGTAGGCATATCCACTTTTGTGAATCCTTCGTCGTCATTACTGTTCTTTCATAGTCCCCGTTCTGCCATCGGCTTTTCACGGTCCGTATATTTCTTTGTATCACTTCGCTAGGGTAGCTATTGTCGAAGAATATCCTCGTCCAGCTCCTCGTCCCAAAATTCTACTACCGTTAGGCATAGGCTTCAGATCATCATGCTCCTCATTATCACAATCTTTAGCCTGTATTTGTCATGGGACCGGAAATTGAGTATTATTCCAGCATAGGACTTCTTTCTGAACAATTTCTTCTTGAGCGTCCTATCAAAGCGAATCGCTTCAATGTCTCGGAACGGTAACCGCTCAACTTCCTCTACCTCCATTGTGAATTTAATTTTTCATCAATCTGGTTTATAAACTTCAGAAACTGCTCCACTTTTTCTCTTGCATGTGACCAAAGCGCGAAATAATCATCCAGGTATCGCATGAGCACTGCCTGTTGGGGAGGTGCCATCTTGAAGCTCTCTTTTGTTCATGTATCCGTTTGCCAAAAGTGGTGAGAGCGACGATCCCATGAGAAGTCCAAATATTTGTTCATAGATGTTCCCGTTGCATGTGAAATACGTTGTCCCTATTGTCAAGTTGATCAATCTTGTTAGCGACTCTCTACAGATCCGTTGTGATTCCAGGATATCCTCTTCTCGGTCCAGCATTTCCAGCAGGGCCGTCAGCACATTTTCTCCAGCGATATTTGTATACATCGATTCCACATCGAAACTTACCAATAAGTCCGTTCCTTCCAGTGCCATGTTTTATATTTTTGAGAAAATTCATATGAATGTTTCACCGTGTTTGATAGCCTCTCACTTAATTTCTTGAGTTTCAAACATATAAACTTTGCTAATTTGTATGTCGCTTCATACTTGTTGTTGACTATCAGCCTTACCGTAACATTTATTTGAACGAAAATAACGCACAAAAAGAAGTGAGTTTTCCATCGTATTGCATTCGTATAATGGGATATACCATACTTGCTGATGAATAACTATTTAATTTTCGGGAATAAAAACATAATAAAACTTAAAAAATCATTCGGAATTATAAAACCATACATATTCTCACCCCAAGTACTACACCATCTCGAGCCCACTAAAGGTTGATATTGATTAGTTAGATGTGCGAAGGAGGTTGGATTATGTTCTGTACTTTTAGACCTATCACAAACTGATTTTAGGTTGCATGAATCAATGTCACTCAAATTTGAGTAGTTTTCAACTAGTGTGGCTTGATCATCGTCGATAAAAGGAGCTTGCAGATCGTGTAGAATTAGCGCAGTATCGAGTAATTGATGCTGTTGCTCCTGCCGATTCTGAAAATTGTGAAGTGGCGGTTGCAAGACGAAGGGCTGAACTGAAAGTTCATCATGACTGAAGGAATTATCCTTCTGTCCCTCTGAATTAAATAAGGATATAATTTACAGATTACGATGGGGATAGTTAAGCATATTAAGTTTAACAAACAAAAATTAATTAGAGTAAGTCTAGTAAACACATAGAAATAAATGAAACAATTCCGAAATGCGCATTAATAAGAATAAAAACAGATATCTATAATAGAACGTACAAGTAAAATAAAATAAATTAAATATTCACTGGTCCAAGGATGAGAAGCTAAAACAGACTTTATTCAGGAAAAAGAAGTTCGATGGTATAATATAAAAATAAGTATATAAATTTAAATAAATAAATATACAGATTTCATTAATAGAAAGTTGATTTCGAGATTATCAGTTAATCTTAAGAAAGAGTTATAGTAACCCTATATCTCATAATGTGATAAGGGAACAATTGTTGGATTTTCCCACAATGCTATGGGCAGGCCTCACGATGTCAGTGAATATGAGTCTGCCCTGCCTAGCAAAAGGTTATTACGGGGTGGACTGCAGTTACGACTTTGGCTTAGTCTCCTCAGCCTTCCCAAAATGAATCGAACTCGGATAGTTCAGCATATATTTTCAACATGCTAAACAGCAATGGCTGCCGGTGGGTCACGATACAGGCGTGAATTTCAAGAAAAGCTAGGCCTCAGTGTTGGGGAATTTAACGATCAGTCCTTCACCATTTTATGCGACCTGGGGTAACTAAAACTTTTAGTCAAGATCTATTGATATACTCGTAGTCTACTGGTGAATATAAGTAACGTAGTCGATTGTAATGGCAAAATATGGCTTGCCTCACCGACAATCTCACTATAAGCGTAATATGCGAGAGACCTGGATAGCTTCAAAATTCCTGTCTGCTTTGTGACCCATTGGTACTAGTAGTAGTGTGGCGTAATGATAGCATATTAAAAGTATATGATAAACCACCTGGGGACGCCTATAACCGGGGGTGCTGGTAATAATTAGGCAGGCTAGAAACTGTACTCCACTTTCGATAATAGTAAATGTTAGGAAGCAAGGATAAATGAAACTCATTTGCATCACAGTATGCGACCTAGGATGACTAGAATTTTTATTATTCGTATATAAGCAGAGTTTCGAGACTACCAGTAAAGCTGTTATATGAGAGGTTTAAGGTGATGAAGGAGTGGTAGTAGAATTTTCCCACGACGATAAGAGTAGAGCTGACGTTCCCATTGAATTTCATATAACCCTGCTAACCAAAATGTTGCTCTCATCCAGGGTAGACTGCAGGTTAGACCTCGCTTAGGTCTAATCAACACCTCAAACGGGAGTCGAACCGTGACAGTGCAGCATGCGCGCTTGACACGTTAGCCGCTCAGCCACATAACCACAAGTGCCCTCTAGTCACAGGACAGATGTGAATTTCAAGGAAGGCCAGGTTTTTTCCTTATCACATTACTTATTTTTCGCAAATAAACAGAGTTTCGAGACTACCAGTAAATCAGTTATGAGATGTAATGAGATCAAATTTTATAGCAAAAATGCGTTTGCTTCATCGACAATACCACCAAAAAATATGATATAGAAAAACCCTGGCCTTCCTTTAGATTGATATCTGCCCTTTAAACCGAGGGAACTCGTAGCAATGTGGCCGAGTGGTTGACATGTCAAGCTCACATGCTGAACTGTCAAGGTTCTACACCCATTAGAGAGATTGATAAGACCTATTCGAGATCAAAACTGCAGACTACCCTGGATGATAACAACTTTTGGGAAAGCAAGGAAATTCAATAGAAACGTCAGCTCTACTCATATCATTGTGGGAAAATTCTACTACCAGTCCTTCATCACTTTAAACTAAATGGGATGAATACATCTCATATAATTATAATGTGTAGATTTCAATTGGCATTAGCTATACAATTTTCATGCAAACGTCAATAAAAATATGTTACCATTAAGATACAGATAAACTTCTAAATATAAAAGCGGAACCGATCTGAAAAAGTATATTTACCTAGATATGGTAAATGAAACTCTAACAAGGGATTTGCCAAGGTTAAATAAATTTCGCTTTTAAAGAAGACAACTTTTCTCAGCTCAAAAAAACAATCAGAATCTCCGCAGTTCTGATCCAAATTTAATCTGATTTATATCAAGTATTCAAATAGCTAACAGTCTGATATCGCCAAAAACAACCCGGACAAATGGCTCTAATGATAATACAAAGATATGCAAACTGTATAAAATAAAATGGCGCATAAAACAACTTAAGACCAGTGTTGCTTGCTAATGTTTAGATACGGAGAGTAACTGGGCCTCGACAAATCTCCTGAAGTAACACTATTGGAGAGACCTTCCTATGAAAGTGCATGAAAAAGAGATCCGTAGGTTGATCTCACCCGAAGACAACGGCTGAATCCCGCTGTACTTAGTCGTGTAGCTATAATAAGACGTTTAGATTGAGGAAGTCCACATGACCTTCTCTCTCGTTACGGGTGAAAACTGGATGAGCCTTGGTCCATCATATGATGGATATGATCAGAGCTAGAACTCATCCATGCAAAAGTCCCACGTTTACACTAGATCAAGAAGACTATCCGACTCAATCTTACCTCTTATATAGACTCAATAAAGCAAAATAAAAGGCCTAAATAGATATAGAATAGTTTGACGAATTATCTTTCGTACTGGTCCTGCCCTTTTTTGTTAGAGTGCATGTGTGTGTGCTGACATTATACTCAATACCATTATTAAGTCAGAGTGATCAAAAAAGGCTAATGCCAGGCTCTGTGAATCAAAGATTAATGACGCAGGAAAAAGCCCTGAGACTGCGTAAATCCGTAAGCAAATATGGTCGAGATTATGAGATGTAAGCTAGTAAGCGTGTAAATTAAGTTACGAAACCATCTGTCTTAACCTCTCAGTCTATATCATTAAGGCTTAGCCACCCAAGAAAAGACATGACAGGGGCTACCTAATCTCGTACGCATGGTTTGGCTAATGAGCTTAATTTAATGTATAGGAAGAGTGTGAGTGATGTTAGAACCATCACCGAGCAGACAAGTTGAGTCGCCTTCTTTTGGCTTAACAAATCCTCTCTCATTCAATCTTTCAATCAAGCATAACTAGTTTTTACTCAACTTTCTATCGCCGTTATTCACATTCAATTTATCCATAATTTATTAATTTCAATAGCCTCTCTTATCATTATTTTAACCGTAGATGTACCATAATCAGCAAACCAACTCGTTTAAAACCATTATATCTGATGTCCAGTCTCTGTCATGCTTTCGGCCACTCCTAACCATTGGACACAGCTCCATTTTGAAGTATTTTGGAGTTCCTCCAAGCTTTGTGAAATAGGCCGGTATGTCTCACCAACATAAAGTCGGCCACAGGAGCAGAGTCTTTTAGCAGCCGAATCTTGATAATGGGTCACATTTAACTCTAAAATATGGCATAACAGAAAAAAGTGAGGGCTTCTTTAAACATTGTTTTTATCTCCCATTTCTTTATTAATTCACCTATCTTATTAGAAAGGCATGACCGCAAAATTAGGACAAAAGAAAAGGTTTCTACTTGTCTATCCTTGATTAAATAGTTTCCGTCTGAAAATTTATTCCCCGGTAAAAAGATATTAATTCACAAATAGGTCCAAATGATAATTACTTTCCAGGAATAAGTTTGTCAGCCGTTCCAACTCTTTAGTCAAATGGTTGCGCTACGCTAGCCTCATACTCCTAATGATCAATTACTTAAAAGTTCCAACCTTAGTTTCGTAACTATGGTTGGAAAGAAAATCAAGAAAAGAACCAACAAATGTTGGTTTCCTATAAACTTATCTTCCTAACTCACCCTCTTATCTAATAATGATAACATCTAAAAAGGTAAGAACCTATTCTCTTCAACTTCAATTGTGAACCTAATGTCCTGTTCACTTTCCTTACCATGAAGCCATATGTCAAAATAGGAATTCATATATTAACCAAAAATTTTAGGGTTAGTGTTGCCTCTTCCAAGTTTTGCCATATAATTGGTCGCCAAAATGGGAGCTAAGCAAGATCCCATATAACTTACAATCAGAGGAAAAGCAGGTGTTATCCATGGATAGGTTAAAAAGTCTATCTAAGGACGCTACACACCAAAACTTTTAAATAAAATTATTCCTTTTTATGTCAAGGCTCGTAAGCTAAAGAAATAGATAAAATTGGAATAATGTAAAATTGAACTTGATAAATGTCCACTGTTACCAAACTACGCAATAAATCAACTAATTTTACTAGAAATATAAGGCCGTAAATATATTGGTTCAAGTCATTTCCATTTCGAATTAAAGTGCTAAAAAGATTCTAATGTCGGTCCCAAAACAATACAGCGACAAATTCTTCTTGGTGTATCTACGTTTATGCATGCGAATGAGCGTTAGTTGTAAATAAAGATATTAAACTGATCGTGATAGTTTTAGTTAATAAAAAATGAATAATTATTTTTCGCCGTTAGCAAGATTCAATGACCTTATTTTAACAACCATTCAGATTGTGTAATTCCCGACAAGCGTCTTGTTAGGTAGAGATTTATTGTGTGAACTAACACGTGCAGAGTGGGTACATACTTCAACTTTAATGATAGTTTATAAAAACAGATAGAAGCACTTCAATGGGGCCTTGCCGAAAATAAAGAAAGCTTCATGCAAGAGGCAAGATTGACACCAGTATTGATAGTAGCTATATAGATCATTGCTTTGCAATTTGTCAGAATGATGAGGATAGATAGTTTCTTTTTATAAATTATCCAGCTAGATAGGAAATTGTTTTTCCGATTGAATATG